TGATGGGATTTAACTCCTCGAACAAGTTCTTGCCATACCCAAACTGTTGGTCCAATCAAGAAAATAAAGTGATTGTGAGAGACAGCCACTTCTCGTGAACGCTCGTGTTGAGTTTTATATTTCTCGAGTCAAAAATGTGGTCAGGGGAGAGAGTTTAAAATGTGTTGCACCCCAGCTGTTTCCAGAAATTTCTCCTCTCAGATTACATGGGAGTGAATGAGAAAAAAATCGGCGCTCCCTTCGCTTTGGAGCCACTCAGCAAAAATGTGTACATGTGAGAGATTCCATGTCAACATATCTGTGACCAGGACAAATTTTCCTGCGTTTTGTGGTATAAATTGTGTCTGTACAGTGAAAATTGTGGCCATGGCAGCGAGTTAAAGACAAAAGTTTTAGACGATTTTTAGAGCCCTTTCCACTCTAGCTCACAGCATTGCATGCAATACCCACCCATTATAAACTGACAATTTCTCCACTTTTGCTCATGGTACTTTTAGAGGCACAGATTAAAAACGGTAAGAGATATGAAAAAGATGAAAACAGGTCTGAATAGATGAGACGTGTGGCAACATTTGAGAGTTGGAATGGAGTCTGTAGCTCAAAGTATGGAGACACTGTAAAGGCTAGAAAAAGCCCTAAGATTGGTCTCTTTCTCCCCCCTGCTGCCATTCATTTCCTATGGGACAGCTTTCGAAGATCGTCAGGACGTTTTTCTGACATCTCACCTTATGGAGCCCATAAAATCCAAACTAAGCGAGTAATGAAAAAGTTAAGAATAAGATTTGATTAGAACGAGTTGATCTGTCATCTGTGCAAGTTTGAAGCCGATTGGATAAGCGGTGTATGAGAAGAAGATTTTTTAGGAAAGGCAGTTTTAAGGCAAAATCTTACTTTGAAAGGGCAAATAGCTCACTTCCTGTTGGATTTAGGTCAGGGGTGTCAGCGCGTGATTTTTAGGACTTCATGAGACGAACACGCCACTTTTGGTTTCATGTTTCTACGACGTTCCTACAGGCCATGGCGGCCAATTTTGTGTGCCTAGGTGGAGCTAGAGAGCCCATTTTGGCAATTTAAGGGTTAATGTCATGATTTTCTAAAATTTTTCACCGGTTCTGATGTGCGTGCCAATTTTGGTGAGTTTTTGAGCATGTTTAGGGGGTCAAATTCCAGCTCAAAGAGGTGGCAGGAGAAAGAAAGAAAGAAAAAGAAAGAAAGAAAGAAAGAAAGAAAGAAAGAAAGAAATAATAAACACACCAATATTTTAGCAATACACAGCCTTCGGCGAGGACTGGTCTGTGAGAATAAACGCAGCAAAAAGTATAGGGGGGGTCCTCGCCTTTGGCGAGGACTGGTCTGTGAGTAGTCCTCTGCCTCTAGGCTCGGTCCCTAATAAACTCCAAAAGAAAATGGAGGAACATGACCTGCCTAAAACAACCATCAGCTACACACTGGCTGTCGCTGGAGAGAGTGTACATGCCAACTGGGCTGCTCTGGTGTTGGAGTTGGAGGAGGAGGAAACTGCGAGGAACTGTCCGGTAGCTAAGGGTCTCAGAGAGCACCTCCAAGCATGCATATTCCCTGCCCTGACTCACTTACCGTTTGACGTCTTGGCCATGGTAAACTGAATGAACCTCACCCTTTAAAAAGTTGATATTAACATTTTCTCCATCCAACCTATCATGGACATGACCCTGGTTAGCTTAGAGAACTTGATGAAAGGCACAGGTGAGGCAGAGATGAAAGTCACTGAGGCTTTATAAGATGGCAAGTTCTGTGTCATCATGCTCATGCAGCCAGATGCGTAAACCTTCTCCATTTTGCGCACAGAGTACATCATGGAGGTAACTAAATCTATCAGAAAAAGATTCCTTTCTGAGGATGTAGGCATCATTGCTGACCTGGATACCGTACTAAATGCATTTTGCTGTCCAGACGCTGACAGTGCATTGAAGAACTATGAACTGTAGGCCTTGGAGCATGTCTGTGACCACTATGGATCACAGAGGGGTGAAGCTGTGCCACTGGTGCAGAAGGAGCTCATGCAGCGGGATTTACTCCAGATGAAGAGGTGGATCAGGATCAAGAAATCTGACCTGTATTTGTATAGTGCATTTCTAGTCATCCAACCACTCAAAGCACATTTTTTTTTTACACCATGAGTCACATTCACCCATTCACACACATATTCATACACTGGTGGCCGAGGTTACCATACAAGGTGTCACCTACTACTCAGTTTTTTACACACTCACACATCAGTGGAACAGCCATCAGGAGCAATTTGGGTTTCAAGATCTTACTCAAGGATACTCTGAGCCACAGCCTCCTCCTGATCACTTCCCTAGGAGAAATGTTTCTCGACTTCAAAACTTTGGCTGAAGTGGCACTGGTAATCCCCGTCTCCAGTGTGGCAGCAGAATGTGGCTTCAGCCTCCAGAACAAAATTAAAATGGTGATGAGAAGTTGTCTATCCAAGGCAAAAACACAAAACCTGATGACACCAATCACGCTTGATGCATTTGAATATGCACAAGTGAGCGCACGGTTTAAATCCATACAGACCAGGAGGAAGGTCTGAGTTCAGTCTAGGCTACAGCAGGTTAATTCACTTAAATTTAGTTATTTTTTGTCAATAGTCTGTTCATAATTTAATTGGTATTGCCTAATTTTGTAAAATTGCATTGTTTGTTGGCTCGTTTATACACAATGGAACAGTGTTTATGGTGACCTCTGCTGTTAATCTGTGGGAAAAAATCATTGGTGGTGTTTTATAAACTTCATACAGCAGGAAAATTTATTTTTTATTTTTTATTTTTTTATTTATTTTTATTTTAAGGTTTGAACTGTTGGTTGGACAAAACAAACATTATGAAGGTGTCGCTTTGGGCTCTGGGTAAGTCTCACCATTTTTAAAAACCCAACAATTAATCAATCAATGGATTCATGGAGAAAATCATCAGCAGATAAACCCATAATGAAACTAATCATTGGTTAATAGTTCAAACACAGCTCCACCTCCACCAGCTACAACATTAAAATCCTGCTTTCACACTGATGCATGAGTCAGAGCTATCTAATTAGATCATATGTAGTAGCAGACTATCACAGTCACAGAGGAAATTTTACAGTGCTACTTGTAATACTTTAATATTAACTAACACATCTATAAATAAATGCTACTGTTGCTTTGTTTATATTGAATGAGTACATAGGCAAATGTTTGCCAATGCATAACTTCATAAGCTGCTGATATGCTGTGTTTACAGCTACTTTTGATAAGCACAAGTGACCAAAAAAAATCAACTAACACATCTGAGTCAGGTGTCAAATGTTATCATTCATACTGCTGTATCTTAAGTCATCATCAGTCACTGGTCCCACGGTATTGTGAATTGTTTTTTTCTTCATTAGATTGTAGATCCACAGCAGCCTCCAAAACATTCACGGTGTTCTTTGTTGTATCATCCCAGCCTGTTTTCATTCAGGTACGGCAGCCTGGTAAGTGGTCGTCTGTGAATGATTCCGATGTACAAGGCACCCTTTTGCATCTGTATGACATGCAACATGCCTTTCAACTAAATTCAAATAAAACCCATCAGTGCAATGTATCCTCATAGAATGGTTCATATGATATACAACAAAAATGCATGCACAACAGTCTGTATGACATCCTACGAATGTGCACCCCACAAATGACGTTGCGTCTTTAACGTACAGTTATGTAATTAACATCAAGTTGCGGAGGTTAGGTGTAGGAAAAGAAACATGGTGAGGACCGTACTTTAAAATGACTCAAAGTCCACTCCTTCACATAGAATCCAAACACAGTTCACACTCAGTTTTTTGTGACTGGACTTTCACCTGGGAGATCGGTGTTTGCTTCCCATATTACTGTAGAGCCAAACTACGATGTTTTTTCCTAACCTAGCCATGTGCTTTTGTTGCCTACACATACCCATGTCCTTTTGTTGACACTTATTGGTTGCAGTGTCCCAGAACTTCATTAGCAGACATGCAGGAGGATACCTAGCATGTACTTTGTAGACGTGAAAGCTCACTGACAAACCTGGGATATGTGACAAGTTGGGATGAAAACGTTTTGTTTGTCAATATGATGGTTGCAATAAAATCTGATAAGCTACACCCTTCAGTTTTCCATATAACTGCACAGATAATGCAACTATGTGAATGTGGAATTAAAAGGAAAAGGGTCACTACATTAACGATTTGTATGACTTCACTGGAAAATGTAAATGGTTATCATTTAAAAAAAAAAGCTAATATGTCAATTATTTACTGTGTAAGCTTGAAGATGCATTCCTTACTTTTGTGAGCACCACATAATCTCATAGCAGAACTCAGTTTCTCAGTTGAGTTGTAAAAGACCAAAAGTCAACTTCAAGACAGTTCTAAGTTTTAAGGGGTTAATATAGAAAAATGTGTAAATATATCTTAAAGGAATGATTCACCTTTATGTGTTTACCAACCAGTCTGCCACAGTTCTAAATTCCTACATCTCCTGTCTACTAAGCCTATTAGTAAGCCTTACAGCCAGCTCAGTGAAGACTGAACTTCCTGGGGGGGAAAAAAACATAACAAAACAAAACAAAACCAAAAATAACCCCTACAATCAAGCTTCACATCACACAATCATGGACTGATCAAAGGGCTAAACCAAATGCAGGTTCTTCCTCCAGGTGAACAGGCTTTCCTGCTTAGAAATGCACAACATGTCCTGATTGCAGCTCCCCTACTTTAGCTGTCACTTCTTTAATTGATTTAAGAGAGCCTAAAGACTCCCCAATCCCCTCCGGCTTACTGTCCCACCTCTCACGTTAAATACTTAAGGAATAACCTTGATACTTGGCAACACGTGAAACAAACTGTCAACGAGCAAGTACCACAGAGACTTCATTTAAAAACTCTGGTATAGAGTCAGTGCTTTTTTGTTCATTTTCTCATCAAGCAGCAGTGTTAGGAGTGAAAAGCAGAGCAGTTACCTCACACAAGCCTCTCAGTGTCCCTCCGAGCTGCTGCAGAGTAGAAGTGTAGTCCATATATTTCCTATAACTCTCTCCGTGGTGATTTCTCTCTCTGTTAGTTCACCCTGTTAACGGCGAGCTGTATCTGCCCTTTTCCCTCCCTTCCATTCTCTGTGTGTCCTCTCAGCTCTTTTTATGTTTTCCCTCTAAGTCCCTCCCTCTCTCAGCCTCTTTCTCGCTTACACATCCCTTGACCCCCTCCCTACCTCTCTCTCTTTTGCTGTCTGCTGCTGTACTTCCATCCAGTCTCTCCTCCAAACATGGTACATCATTTTGTTGCCCAAAAGCTTGTTTTGAGTTTGCTATGCAACATATGAAGAAGCCTGTAGATTACTAGGAGAACAATTTTAACAATCACAATTTATTTTCTGCAAATAGTGTGATGTGTCATGTTTGGAGCAGAAATGTCTATGCATCTGATCTTGATCCACCAGGACGGTGAGGATGAGATGCCGGGGGACCTTCAGCATGACAAGAATCCAAAACATTCTACAAAAGAGACAACTTGGTTCTAGAGGAAGAAAATAAAGGTGTTTGAGTGACCCAGTCAATCACAAGACTAAAACCTGATAGAACATTTGTGGAAGAAGCTGAAGATCAAGATTCACCTCAGAATCTTCTACATTTTAACTGTCTGTGTGGAAGAATGGACCAAAATCCCATCTGTGACTGATTAATTTCTTCACACAGAAAGCAGTTTAAAAGCTACATTGCAAACAAAGGTTTCTCCAACAATTATTATATACTTTTCAGTTTGTATGTTCAATGCTTTCTTTCTGTGTTAATCCACTTTCTTGCAAATAACTTTCTTTATGGACTGAAATGTTATAATTTCTTTATCTGTATAGTTTTACTGAATTCATATCAATGTCTGGTGGAAATTTCATGTGAATAGCTGCACTGGAAATATATTTAATGAAAAAAATGTTGACACATTCAATACTGATTTCACCCACTCTACATGTAATTGTCAGCAGTGTTAGCTTGCAGCCAGTTTATTTATTGACACCTCTATACTTTTCACATTTTCAAGGATGCATTGCATAGCTGTCAGAAATTCCTATACATGGGATTTGTAATTACAATGAGGAGGCTATGTAAACTGCAGTCAGGTTGAAAAAAGGACTGGAACAAGTAGAACACACCAAATTGTGCAAATTGTGACAAAGAAACAACTGCACAAGTAGAGAATTTTCAGCTAAAACTAAAGTTGTGGTAGCCCCGAGGCTTTATATAACGTAAATTCAAGGACATAAAGAGGAGAAGATCTATCGTGAAATAATACTGAGAGTGGGAGTTTCAGGTGAATTTTGAGATTTTAAGGTTGAGCTGTTACACATGCACAGCACAAACGAACTTTGTACACACAGTTGGTGTGCAGGTTGCTTGCTAGCTAAAGCTTAAGTTTGTACAATCTGTACATTGTGGCAAATAAACAGACTGCAGTAAAAGGTCAAACTGTACAAGTGACGAGGTGAACACAATTTATCTTGTTTGATTATCTGCACATAAACTGAAATGTAAGAAAACAAATATTTGCAACTGGGTCACTGATTTTGGTCAGTATTCTCTCTTTGTTCTGCTATCTGTATGTTAGCATTTCCAAATCCCATTTGTAAAGGGGAACAGCAACAACCTCCAAGCTAACAACTTACACACTAAAATTGGAACATTTTGACAAAGATTTGGATCATGCAATAAGGCATGCCTGATTTGTCCTTTCAGTGACTTGTGGTAAAGATCTACAACAAATAAAACAACTTGTGAACGTACCTCTGTAAACCCCAGACTCTATGTCACAGAACTTTAATGGAGAATGTTGATCTGTTTTCTGACACGGCCAGTACCAAACCGTTCCACTTCACTCCAGCTTCTGTCATACTGCCATAATAACATCCTGCTAGAGCACCATACAGCCAGCAAATCGTCTGTGGATTTAACAGGTGACATATGACTGTTAATGTTTTTGTGGCCTTTTCTTTTGCAGGGCTATTTTAATGGCAGTGCTTGCCCCCCAACATGCAAATGTTCCACCAAAACAAGTTCACCCATGACACTGTTTTGCAAGAGCACCATCACTGCATCCTGCACCACCCAAGATGACTATAATTGATTTGAAGAAACACAAACAGGCCAGAGTGTTTTCTTTATTCTCCCCTACAGCAGATTCAAGACCTTTCTCTGACACTGACAGAGGACTGTGGCAATATGTCTGGTTACATCAGACTATGGACAGGGTAACCATATTTTCAAACCCCCTAACTGGGACACTGAAGTGTACTGCACATTCATACATGCACATGTGTGTGCTTACACACACACCATAGGTCTTTTTTTAAATCAAGATTGGGGGATAATTATCTCATTGTTTAGCACACCAATCAAGTGCACCTTTCAACCCCATGGTCAGCTCCTCTGCAGAATAGTTAATTTGACAACTGTATGATGACACTAAACCACACAAAACCAGCTGTACAGTCCATGGATTGAAAACTCTGATTGTGTCTCACCAAATGGTAGGCAAATATCCCCTCCTGAGCTGCCTGTCTCAGGAAGATGTCACTGGTGTTTGCAATCCTTATATCCACCTCTTATGTTTGGCCATCCTAGTATAATCTTTTAATATGAGCACTCGCAGTGTGTGCAGAATGCAGCATTTTCACTGCTGGGTACTTTACAAACAAAGGAGTGAGGCTCCTGGAGCTCTTCAGAACCTCTCGAGACCGACTTTCTCTTTGGCGTGAAAGGTTCTGTCAGACTGTACTGAAAGAGCTGCAAGTGTCATAGCAACAGCCTTGACAACTAACAGACACTAACATATTTATTTACACTATTGACACTAACAGTCAAATCTTTATTGACACTAACAGAAAAATCAGTTTTGAATTCAGACATGTGCTGCACTGTTTATGATTTTATTTTGGGCTAGGTAATAAGTGGGTCAGAACATGATAAACATCTGTGTAAATGCTAAAAACAAGTATAATATTTTTGGTGTTTTACAAATATTTGTGGGAACGCGAGACAACCACCTTGAAAACACACGACAGTGTCGGACAAACCGTGATGTCTGGTCACCGTAATGTTGGAGCTTCTCTGTCAGCTGTTTTGCTGTATTGTGACAATATTAGCTGAAGAGAAGTACTAAGAGAACTACAGTAGTGTATTGCTGCTAAGTCACTGGTGTGAGTTAGCTGTGTTGCACTTAAGCCTCTGAGGCTGAAAGATGAAGCCGATTGCCAATGCGTGCCAAAAACTGCAGTTCCTGTAATGGCTGCTTGAGGCTGGCTCCAAAACAGAGTCAAACCCAATAGACCCCCATGTTAAACTGTCCAACTTTACAGCAGAAATAAACATATCTACAGCCTGGTACAAAAAATAGTTTTGGTCTCTATAGCTAACATTCATGTGACCTGTACAGGGTGTGGGATTGTTTTTATAACTCATCTGTTAACATTTTATCAAGGCCCAAAGTTATGTGTATTTAAGAGCTGGGCAGCTTAAGTGACGGACTGTCTGTCAATAGTGTCCTCAGCTTCTCAGTCAGATCTACTCCTTGTTCCCCCACAGTCCCACCCTCTCATCCACATATGGTTGCCTCTGGCTCTAAAAAACCACGACAGTGACGGACGAAATGCTGAACTTGAGGCTTTTAAATGGGGGTCCACAAACCAATGGGTGATGCACAATAGCTATGTCCATTATTTATACAGTCTATGGTCACACTACCTCCAGTCCTCATGCCTAGCTACGCTAAACATGTCCTGACTTCTGCTTTACACACACACACACACAAAACACTTTTCATTTCACTGTTAGAAAATACAAAAAAATATGAACATTAATTGTTTTTAACAGTAGAAGGGAAACAAATAGTTGAAAGCAAATCATCAAGATATGAGATCCATGTTTTTTTTTTTAATGTTTTCGCTCTGTGTTGCTGTTTCTCAGTCATCACTGTCTGTTCTTGAAAATGTCACTAAACATATCTCTCTCACTCTGACAGAGCATCTCTGTCTACCTCTTCCTCTCTTTTTATTTTATTCTATTCACTTGTTCCCAAACCCCACCATTCAGAGTTGTTGACAGAGTATCAGTCATAAAGATTCCAGGCAAATGGTCTGTTTCTCTGCCAGCTGCTTTCGCTGTATTGTAGCAGAGACACTATCTGACTACATGTCCCCTGAGCTTCTAGAGTTGGGCTCTCTCCCAGCATGTAATCACACACACACACACACACACACACACACACACACACACGCACACAGCCTTGCAAGTATGACAGCCAAGCGCACAATGACTCCTGCAAGAATATGAGCACAAACACAGGATGACTACCCGCAAGTGAGGTTGTGTATTAAAAAAGATGGCACCTCTGTACACAAATAAACACACTCTCTCCATCACAAACACACACACACACACACACACACACACACACACTCGCAAACATTTTATATGCAGACATGTACTTATTGAAAACACAAAAACACACTTATGACGTGACATGCATTCACGACTACACATGCAGCAGGTAAACACACACACACACATACAAACACAAAGACTAAATTGTAATCCATCTTAAAGCTTGACGCTGCAGAGGTCTCTGGTACAGACTTTACAAGTGATGCTGTGTTGGTGCTTGCATGTATTCACAGCATTTACATTTTTAGAAATGTGTGTGTAGTGGGGTAATTCACATGCAGCCTCATTACTTAACAGCGTGCAGCTTGGTCTTGCTGGCTGAGCAGTTTGACAGATGATCAGAGCTGCTCTATATGTGTCTTTAATCTAACTGCTAATCAGAAAAGCTGCAACTGGTGCTTTTTTGATGGAGCCTTGATGGGCGACTGACCTATATACAAACACTCCAACCTCACTGCTGTATTGCTCTTGCTATTTTTCTAACTGACTTTTTTTCCTGTCTGCTTTTATCTCATTGATGGACTACTGTGGTGTCCCTCCCTCTCTGCCCGTTACCTCCACTTTGTCTCTCTCTTATCTCGCTCCCTCCTTGTTTTTTTTTTCCAAATCTAAAACAGAATCATAAACAGGTGAGAGTGATAAATAAACATTTTAACTAGAAATACAG